AAACTAAACAGCCTACAGTATTTTTACAGTCTTTATTTTACAGTTAAAATAAATGTTTATCAAATAAAGTCTAATGTTACAACTAATCATGGATCACTTTAATAAGTTATATTGAACATAACAGAAGCTAACAGAAACATTACAAATATATCATTTTCATTTACACAAAATGAGTGGGCAGAAGTTTGTATTAGCCCACCTCTTCTCCTATAACCTATAACCATTACATCTTATTTATCAAGAAAATTATTACTTTCTTAAAAACGAATCCCTCCAACAACACTGTCATCAGTTTCCCTTCAAGATTAAACTGTTTAATTTAAACAGTTTTAAAACCTGTTTATGGTGAAGAGAAAAAATAGTGATATTTTATTTTGCAACACAGTTGAACCATTTTCATTATTTAAGAGCAGATCAAATCAAACTGAATCGTGACTAATCGATTCAGAACCGTATGAATCGATGTAGAGAACTGGCCACGATACCAGCAGTAGTGCTGTCAGCCGTTGTAGCTACACTGTTTACACACCGTTTACACACAGGCTTTCCTCTTTGTTATCACTTCCTGTTGCAGCACATGTGAATATCTTAACTGTTCATCTCTGCGAATGATTTTTTTTGTGCAATATGTTATTACTGTCTGTCCAGAAGTCCATTCATGTTTCTCATGGACATTTGATGTGACAGGGACTTTAAAGTAGGCGGCAGCAGCCCACTGTGGGTCGTGAAGCACCATTTTGTGGGTCTTATGAACTACAAAAATTAATCAATTTATAAAAATATGATTATCAACAGCATTAACCTTAACTGTGAAACATAAATATGTGAAATGAATGTATTTGCAACATTGTTTTTACAGTTTAACCATGAATAGAGGGTATCAGTTCAGTTTTAAAGGTTAAAAGCAGAAAGGTTTGTGTAGCAATGATCTGAAGTGTTTGACAGCTAAGACTGTGTTAAACTGACAAAACAAGGTGTGTTTTGGTGTGTGCAGTATATAATCTGAATTACCAATATTTGGACTGGCTTAAATTGGACCAAATAAAGTCCCAGTTTATGCTTCATGTGTGAGTTTAAAGCAGGTTTGGCAGAGTTTAATCTTTTAATTTAGAGCTGCAGTCATGTTGACACTGAGGCACATTCAGGTAAAAATAACTGTTGTTGTGAACAATAACTGCTGGTTGAACACAACTCAGAGTGTAACATTTACGTGTTGTTTGAAAGCTGACAGAGATCAGTTTGACTGAGGACCAGGTTAGCTTGAAGCTCCTGCGGAGCTAACAGCTAACAGGTAACGTCAGCAGCGTCTGCATCCATCATGTCGCTGATTCATAACAACATGTTTTATAAACGTAACGCATCGTTACCTTGACGTGTGTTATTAAAAATGACCTTATTCATGCAGTAAAAGAAGCTTCGGGATTTTCGGATATTTTCAGCTGGATGCAGAGAAGCTACAAAGTGCTAGCTTTAGCAGCTAGCCAGGTTAGCCAGTTTTCATAATTACCAGGCCCGAGAAGAGCCGGAACAGTTTCCGGTGGATACTCACCATATTCTCTCTCTTTTCTCTGTTCGACGGTCTTCAGTTTCTACTGCGTCGTGTCCTGGTTGGTTTTTGTCACTGTGGAATGGTGAGACGCGATACGACGGACTAGTGTACTGATTGTTAGTTAGCTAGCGTCAATATGGCAGCAGCAGAGCCACGTCTCCACCGGAAGAGCCGCTTTGGCTCCGCCCACTGTGAAAACCAGTGACGTGGGCTCCAACATGTTGGCCTGATTTACAAACACCACCTCACCAGGATGAAATCCGTTTTATTGTCGATGTTTGGGCGTTTCTTTCTCACGTGTCTTTATTCTCAGTACCAGACAACAAACTGTGGAAAAGATTATACTTCTAAAATTAAATAAAATACTGGATGATACAAAAAAGTTGTGTACTGCTGAAGATTCTCCATTCTGTTGTATAAAGTACCTCAAAGTCAGTAAAAGTACAAGTATCTTACCATAAATTTACTTTGGTAAAAGTTCAAGTCTCTAAGAATATTACTTGAGTAAAAGCCTTAAAGTATCT